TCCCTCTCTGTCTCTCTGTCTCTCTGTCTCTCTGTCTCTCTCTGTCTCCCCCCCCCAAGCATGTCCTTGGGTAAGGATTTAAAAAAAAGAAAGAAAAAAATGTGGTGTGCAGTCCCCTGAATTGATTTCACCGCACCCCACTAATAGGTCACAACAGAGTTTGATAAGTTGTTATGTAGAAAGGACAGAGATGGCTCTCTTCAAATTCTGTTTGAAGTCTAGGGACTGAACTATTTAAATAATAGTTTCAAAAGTCAAATGATATTTACACAAAAGAGAAATTAGGGCATTATATTTTTAAAAGTATCTACTTTTCACAACAAGTAAATCCATAAAAGGCATTGAAAATATGGTCCTTCGAGATAGGAAGGGAATTGGAGTAGTTGATGGGCCTTCCTGGAGAAGACAGATCTTAAGCAGGATATGGGAGAAAGAACGATTTGTAGTTTGACACGAAGGAGTGGGGTTGTCCCAGTTTGGGAAGCAGTATCTTCCTCAGGGAACAGTAGAAACTCAGCCAGGGTAGTGCATGCCAGTTACATCTGCCGTCTCTGAGTTCTGGCACTGGGTCTTACACACACCATCCCCTTGGCCTAGACCACACTTCTCCACCTAGTTTATAGATACTCACCTTTCAGATCTTAACACTTTGAGACATCAGTCTACCTCTGTTTATTTTGTAGTAATGCCCCACCTTCATAGTACTTTAGACTGGCTACAGTTTTATATTTATACGTGTGATTATTTGATTAATGTTTTTTCTCCCTGGCTGAAAGCTATGTAAGGACAAAGGCTGGGACGCTTTACTCGTTACATTCCCAGCACTTGGCACACGATTAGTGGTGATTACATACTGGTGTTTGCTGAATGAAATCCCGTCAGTTTGGTCAGAGTCCAGCCTCCTCACTTGCTGCTAAGTGCCCCAGGTGGAAGGAGAGCTGAGCATTAGAAAGTATCACTCTTCTTTCTAAATCCCTTTCTACAGAGGAAGAATTCTCCTGCTTATGGCAGGAGTGTGGCTTTTGTTCTCTGGACAGTTCTGCTGACCTTGTCCGCCATGTCTACTTCCACTGCTACCACACCAAGCTGAAACAGTGGGGGCTGCAGGCCCTGCAGAGCCAGGCTGACCTCAGCCCGTGCATCCTGGACTTCCACAGCCGCAACATGATTCCTGACATCCCTGACCACTTCCTGTGTCTGTGGGAGCACTGTGAGGTCAGCAGGCAGTTGCTGGTAATAGGGGTGGAAGGAAGTTGTGGATCTTAACTCAAGATGCCTTGACCGTTTCTCTGATCCCCTACATTCCTGAGGTTCCTGCTAGTATCTCCTTTATTCTTGGTAGCTCCCTTGCTCAAACATTCCCGTCCCCAGCAAGTTAATGTGGGAGAGAGCCAAGAGACCCCCTTTGGACACATAAGAGTAAGAACCCCTCTACCCACCCTCAGTCCTTACCCCAAGTTGCTCCTGGCACAGAGCTCCTTCGACAATCCTGAGTGGTTCTATCGGCATGTGGAAGCGCACAGCCTGTGCTGTGAATACAAAGCTGTTGGCAAAGACAACCACGTGGTGCTGTGTGGCTGGAAAGGTAGGACCACTCCTTAACTTCTGGCTGCTAAAGAAACCCTCGATTGCTGAGGGATTACAGCAGCTGGGGATGGGTACTGCAGGGAAAGGTTGGCTGTTGTTTGAAGAGACTTGGGGGTACCAGAGCCTACTCCCCGGGTTTATGGCTGGAGTGTGACTGGGCCTTCCTTCCCAGGATGTACCTGTACCTTCAAGGACCACTGTAAGCTTCGTGAACACCTCCGTAGCCATACCCAGGAGAAGGTGGTGGCCTGCCCCACCTGCGGGGGCATGTTTGCCAACAACACCAAGTTCTTAGATCACATCCGTCGCCAGACCTCGTTGGATCGTAAGCAATCTGAAGGGGAGTGGGTGCAGGCTGTTCCGCTTGAGGAGGCTGGGGGCATATTCCCAGGGGAGGGGCCACTGAAGGTATCTGCAGCTTGGCTACATCTACCTTTAGAGCTCAGTTACCTGCCACAGTCTCTGCTGACTCAGATTTATTAGACTCTGTATTCAGGGCTGACTGTGCCCAATCAGTTATCTTAGTGATCCTCACAACAACCCCATGAGGCAGGCTTCTTATCCCCCTTTTTGCAGATGAGGAAACTAAGGCACAGAGAGCTTAAAATCACTTACTTGAGACCACACAGCTAGTAAGTGTTCAAGCCGGGATTCTAATTCAGGTTCTCAATGCCAAGTCCCATGCTCTCTTTGTGATACTGTGCCCATCTGTAGTTCCCTAAACTCCCCTTCTCTCTTTGGGTGGTTCCCTTCTGCCTGGGCTGGTTCCCCTCTGTGACTCCTTCTCCTCTACCTCTCCACCCCCTCCCCCACCACAGCTCACCCTTTCTTTTTACTGCCCTACCCCAGAGCAACGCTTCCAGTGCTCTCATTGTTCCAAGAGATTTGCCACTGAGAGGCTGTTGAGGGACCACATGCGTAACCATGGTGAGTAGCTGGCTACCACCAACCTCCCTGCCCACCCTCCAAGGTTCCCCTGGCCCTCAGATCACAGCCTCCTCTTTCCTCCTCTCAGTGAATCACTATAAGTGCCCTCTGTGTGATATGACCTGTCCACTGCCATCCTCCCTCCGCAACCACATGCGCTTTCGCCACAGCGAGGACCGGCCCTTTAAATGTGACTGTTGTGACTACAGGTAAGGGGAACCAGGGGCAAGAAATCACAGACTTCATGTTCTAGAACCCCTATGCCTTCCAACCCCTCCTTACCCCTCCTGGCAGCTGCAAGAATCTAATCGACCTCCGGAAGCACCTGGATACCCATAGCAAGGAGCCAGCATACAGGTGTGATTTTGAGAACTGCACCTTCAGTGCCCGAGCCCTCTGCTCTGTCAAGTCGCATTACAGAAAAGTGCATGAAGTGAGTGGGGCTGGTGGTGGGAAAGGGCTAGCAGAAGTATGGCGGGAGTCCAGGCTGAAGAGCTGACCTCCCTCTCTCTCCCCTCCCCACCAGGGTTACTCAGAGCCAAGGTACAAATGTCATGTGTGTGACAAATGCTTCACAAGGGGCAACAACCTCACCGTTCATCTTCGCAAGAAGCACCAGTTCAAGTGGCCCTCGGGGCACCCCCGTTTTCGGTATGTTGCGACTCTTCCCCCATAGATTCACACACATTTTTTCCCATGTTATTTTAACAAGTTAAAAATTTTTAATTTGATAGTGCTTTGATGTCCACCATCTCCATTTAGGCCCAAGGAACCCTGAGAATAGCAATGGGGCAAAGATTATTTTTCTGGTTTTTGAATCCACGGCACAGTTTCAAACCCAATAAATGGTGCACAAAGTCTTACAGCCAAAACTAGAAGTAGGGCCTAATGGTCCAGATCCATAGCTGCTTGATCCCACCCTCCACAAATAATATCTCACTTTTTCCCCCTTCCTCCTTCACCCCCACCCTCTGGTTTCTACATAAAAATTTCCATTTTGAGTAATGATTCTTCCCTCTTTGTATTCTGATAAAGATCTTTTTGTCTTCAACTGCCATCACTTAGAACCTCGGGGTTTCTTCCACCCCTTCTGTTTGTTCCTTACCATGCCAAGCTCCAGACCATTTCTGTAGCCCCCTGCCCATGTTTGCTGCCCTTTGTGCTCTACTTCACCAGGTACAAGGAGCATGAAGATGGCTACATGCGGCTGCAGCTAGTTCGCTATGAAAGTGTGGAGCTGACACAGCAACTGCTGCGGCAACCACAAGAAGAATCGGACCTTGGAGCATCACTGAATGAGAGTGGCCTGCAGAGCATCATTCTAGAAACAGTGCCAGGGGAGGCAGGACCCCAGGAAGAGGTGGAAGAGGAAGAGGGCAGAGGTAGTCAGGGGACAGCCTTCTCTGCCTCTCAGGACACCTCCAGTTCCGTCATCCACATGGTGAATCAGACCAATGCTCAAGAGATTGTCTATTATGTGCTGTCCGAAGCCCCGGGAGAGCCTTCCTCCAGCCCCTGAGTCCCTCTCAGGAAGCATCATGGAAAAGCTTTGGGGAATAGCTGAGGAGCCAGAAGTTCAGATGGTATGAAGGCGGTCGAGCGTGGCCATTCCTAACCTAGGCTTGGTTTAGAGCCAGGCTGGTGGCAGTGCCCCTTTGGGCAGCCCTTGCCAATGGATGCCTTTGGAGTGGTGCTGAGAGCAGGTGTGGTCCGCTCTGGATCTGGCTTGCATCAGTCAGCAGATTCTAAGGACTTTCCTTTTCTGCCAGACCACGTTTTTGTGGGGATCCTGAGGAATTTGGATTCTTTGAGGAGGACACCTGGTTGTGTATGTTCTTGTAGAGGGAGCTAGTATCATACTCAACCATGACTCGCAGACTTGCTGGAACAGTGATTAAAATCCTTAGTCAACTTGCATGCATTCCTATTTTTAGGGTTTCTCAGGCCCAGGGATGACATGTAACTAGTCCCCACAGTCCCTTTCATCACAATCAGCTGAGGCGTTGTGAACCAGGCAGCCATTGCCCTCAAAAGGGTTCCTCCTACAACCCCAGGAGTGCCCTGTCATCCTCGGGGATTGGGCTGGGGGCACTGAGTGTTGTAGGACTTGTTTTTAGTAATAAATGCTCCTGCTGCTACTCCTTTCTTCTTCCTGGTGTTTGGCAGCAGTTAACTAGGTAGTGAGATGCAGCCTCACAGAAGAGGAGCTGAATAATCAGGCTTGTTCCCCTTTTAGTGGCTGGGGTTGGTTTTCTGTGTTTAATGTGTCTTGTTTCCAGCTCTCCTCCCCCTGCTCTTATGAAACCTCCATTTCTTCTTAGCCATCCCATCTCCCTGGAGGTCCCAGGCATAGGCCGTGAGTTGATAATAGCAGCACTCTAGAATGGATGAATGGGGCTAACCAGGAAGATACCACAGCAGACCCTCTGAGTTCTGATTAGAACCCATTACCTCTGGGGTAGGCAGTTCTTTCTCTGTGGGACTGTGGGACAGGGAAGGAAGCTGGTGTGGAGGATGGGTTTGGAGGCCGTAGGGACTGGTAGGTGCTCGGAGTCCAGGAACTAAGGTAGAACATTGTGAGAGTACATTTTCCTGGGGAAAGGGTCTGGTTTTCATTAAATCCCAGAGGTTGAAACCCCCTGAAGTAAGAATTAGGCCTGCCCAGCCACTTTACAGTAATCTATGTCCATTCTTAGTATCTCCTGCTCTGGAAAGATCAAGAAAATATTATCTGGGGTCTTGGATGGGCAGGGAGCTGCCCAAAAAGGGTTTCTGGGTCTTTTTTAAAAGACCAAATTTAATTCTTATTATAAAGACTGTGTATTGCTGAAGGAAATAGGAAAGAAGAATCTTCATTAATTCCATCAGCCATCCACTGAATTCCGCCTATAGTGCAGGCACTGGGACAGGTGCTAAGGATACAGATGACTAAAACCCAGGACCTGCCCTGGAGGGACTTGCAGTACAGATTCAAGGAAAGATCTAAGTCAGTGAAATGATAGAAGCCTGTCAGGGTTCATTTAAAAGGCTCCAAGTAGGAGTAGACAGTATTATTTGGGCAAGGGATCAGGCAAGGCTTCATCAAGGAAATGATTAGAGCTACCATTACAAAGAGGTGGACAAGTTATTCCAAGTGGAAGAAAAGTCTGTAAACAAAGCTAAAGAGGTACTTTATGGTGTGTGGCACAGAGGGCCACAGGCCGTGGAGAGACAAGACAGAAAGGAAGGCAGGACCACCCAAAAGGACCATATAAAGTTTTAGAGTGGTGATTCTGGTACTGATGGTTGCTGGAATTCAGGCAAGAAATAACAAAGGCTTTAAAGCTGTAGCAGTGTTGATGTCCACTTTGCCTCTACAAGAGCTCTTTCATGAAATGGCAGTGTGGAAGAGAGAGAACACAGGAATTAAAAATTTCCACAAGCAAGCGCTGGCCAGGTAGCTCCGTTAGAGCATCATCTGGATACACCGAGGTTGCGGGGTTCCATCCTCAGTCAGGGCACATGCAAGAGTCAACCAGTGATGCATAAATAAGTGGAACAGCAAGTTGATACGCTCTCCTTTCTAAAATCAATCAATAAAAAATATTTTTTAAAACCCACAAGCAAAGGCACTACATTTCGAGGTTTTAGTATCCTGTACTAAGTTTGCCTCCACACCCTGTCCATCCACAAAATAAGTGTTATCCCTGTTCTCCCATCAGGACTTCTTTGGGTTAAGCAGTACCCTCAGTTTCTTCTATGCTTCCTCATGTCTTATAATTTGGGGTTGCCTCCTCTGGGCCTGTGGTTTTGGTAGTTACATCATGCTCCCAATTTATTGCGAAGCACTGTCCTCTGGAACCCCAAAGTTTTGTTTTTTACATTTTGCTATTGCCCAATCCATGTTCCCTCACTTTGTGTGTATGTAGCGTTACTTTGTACCTAATAGCAGGCCCTCGTGTTTGTCCCTATTAAATTTTGCCTTGTTCGACTTGATTGACAGCTGTCTCCAAGTGGTAGGTGAAGAGGTTGAATAGAACAGGGTCCAAAAGACCCCACATGCAAGTCATTAGAGATTTTCCTCCTGACCAGAACCAGATGAAGATTTTGAAGGCTAAATCCTTAAAAGACTGTAGTGCCCCATTCTCCATATATAATTCAAAAATGGAAATATGAAACATACAGGGAGTCAAACATGATCACACTTTCAAAAATATGCGTATGTATATAAAAATATGGTCTTCATTTTTTTGCTTTTAATTTTGTTGCATTTGTTTTGCTTGTGTTCTAAGCATTGGCTTGGGCTGCCCCTTGAGTAATCCAGCATTACTGATGCCATCTGTCCCGTGGTAGAGCAGTGCCTTCAGGATTAAGCCGGCACCCTATGAAGAGGGCCTTCCCTCCCAGTGTTACCCGTCACACCCACACCAAATCTACCTGGACCGTGAAACCCTGGCCCACTACCAGGAGGTTCCAGCTTTCCAGGAGAGGGGTCCTGGGCTCAGCATGCGTGGACTAGATAACACTGGGCCAAGAGTGAGGATTATCACTTATCAAGAGGAAGGATATTAGAAGCTGGTGGTGGGTGGGAGCAGACACCTGGGGGGAGGAGGGTAACACCAATTTGACAGCCTTAGTTTAGTGTTTCATTGGGAGTCAGCCATGAGATCAGACATCTAAAGAGTGCAGAGACACCCTGTCTCACTGTTCCTCAAAGGAGTGGGAGTAGAGAGAATGCTGGTTTTTTCTGACTTGAGGCAAGTCCACAACCTCAGAAGAGCACCAAATTGCTGAGTGGGTATAAAAGATCAATGGTTCTCCGAAATGAGAAAAGGGAGGAATGGGCATGGGGAACAGAATCATGACCTAGTGAGTAGGTGCTCAGTGAATGGTAAGTAAATGAGTGGATTTTGCTCAAGATCTGGAGTCTGCCCTAGCCAGTTGGGCTCAGTGGTTAGAGCGTCTGCCTGGGTACTGAAGGGTCCCGGGTTCGATTTTGGCCAAGGGCATGCAACCAATCAATGTGTGTCTTGCATCAATGTCTGTCTCCCACCTTTCAGTCTCTGAAAAAAAAAAGCAATGGGGTCAAAACCCCCTGGAATCACATGGTGTATTTATGAACGAGGAGCATACCCATTTCATACGTACTACAGTAGCAGAGGGAGTTGAGGCTGACAGAAGGCTGAGGGAGAGTGTGAAAACTTGTTCATGCCAAGTAGAGGAGGGAGGACGGGTGGGGTGGGTGAGGGTTTCATTTACAGGAGGTGTGAAGGAAGTATGAGGCATGGGGTGGGGGTGCCTGCTGGTTTCTATTTCCTTATAAAGTTGAAATTAAGGTTATTGAGGGCTAATTTATTGGATTAAGGACATTTATAAGAAGTGTCTGGTTTTGCCCTGGCCGGGTAGCTCAGTTGATTGGAGTGTTGTCCCCATCAGGGCATAAAGAAGAATCAACCAGTGATGCATAAGTAAGTGGAACAGCAAACTGATGTTTCTCCCCCACCCTCTAAAATCAATAATAGTAAAAAAGAATTGTCAAATTTTTAAAGTGCCAATAGATACAGGAGTGAGCTAAGTCACCTGACAGCCTAGCTGAGGTTGAAGAGCAACATCAGGCACAGTGAGACACTTTTGTAGCAAATACCAGCACCCCTGGAGCAAAGCAGAAGACAGACCACTGGGTTGGTCCACAGCCATGGCCTGACAGCCAGAACATGGATTACTTAGGGCCAAGGAGAGGGTAATTGGAGCAGCTGGAGAAGGATCCTGAGATCCAAGCTGGACAGGAGGCCTTGCAAGCCTGGAAGACAGTAGTTAGAATCAAAGCACCTAAAGTTCCAGCGAGATTTCTGAAGATGAGAGGGCAGACGGAAAAGGTTGTGGTCAGAAAGGTGACATTTTAAAAAGGGAGTCCACAGTATGTCCACAGGGCAGTGGACAGGGGAGAGGGGTCACTGGAGTAGAAGAGACCAAGGGAAATAAGGCATTTTACTATTTTATTATTTTTTTAAATCTTCACTTGAGGACATTTTTTCCATTGCTTTTCAGAGAGAGTGGAAGGGGGAGAGAGAAACATCAATGTGAGAGACACATCGATCGATTTCCTCCCACATGCACCCCAATCAGGGCTGGGGATTGAACCTGCAACCGAGGTATATGTGTGCCCTTGGCCGGAATCGAACCTGGGACCCTTCCGCCCACGGGCCAATGCTCTAACCACTAAGCCAAATGGGCCAGGGCGAAATAAGCATTTTAAACACCTACCAGCAAAGGCCTTCCTGGCCCACCACCCTCCAGTGGAGTGGGCCCTGTATCAGGAGGAGAACAGGTCCCAGAACAAAGCTGGGTGGGCATCTGGTCTGAGGCTCGTTCCATGCAAAGCATATAGACAGAGTTTGGTGGGAATTCAGATTCTAGGGGAAGGAAGGCAGCAAGTTAAGACTGGGAGGACAGTGTGTGGGTTCCCAAGGAAAAAGACTAGCGCAGAGAACCTTGGCATTCTGCAGCTTTGGAGAACCCCTCGCTTGCTGCTTTTTTCTTTTTACATATATATCTATTGATTTCAGAAAGAGGATGGGAGAAGGAGAGAGAGAAACATCAATGGTGAGAGAGTCATTGATCGGCTGCCTCCTGCATACCCGCTGCTGGGGATTGAGCCTGCAACCTGGGCATGTGCCCTGACCGGGAATCGAACCCTGATCGCTTGGATCCCGGGTCCACACTCAACCGCTGAGCCGCGCCCGGCCAGGCTCACTTGCTTCCTATTAAAAGAAAATAGGACTAGCCCTGGCTGGTGTGGCTCAGTTGGTTGGGTGTTGCCCTAGGCACCAAGAGGTTGCCAGTTTGATTCCTGATAGGGGACATCCCTGAAAATGAATAAAAAGTCTTTAAAAAAGTTTTTTTAAAAGAAAGGAAATGGCACTATATAGCAGGAGATAGATAAATATTACACTTTAAAATATATACTTTGTTATTGCTTGATTTTGTTATATATATTCTTATAATTGTAAAACAATATGGATTTTTAAAAAGCAACGGCGGGGACTCTGACCAGCAGGTGCTCCAGGCCTGTGCGCAGCTCGCTGCCCGCCTGGCGAGGGACGGGGCTCCCCAGGCTGCTCCTCCGCGCCTCCTTCCCTCCCAGTCCTGGCTGCGTTTCTCCAAATGGCCAGCAGAGGGCCTTTCCATTGGCAAAGACACTGACACCGTTGGGTCCAAAGACTGTCACAGTGGGCAAGGCAGGCGTGGTGGGTGAGAGACCTGGGGTGACAGAAGCGGAATTGGATCAGTTCCAAAGCCCCCAGTCCATTTCTTTTCCAGCTCCCATGGGACCCTACCACCTTCCTTTTCCTTAGGTCCATAAACCTTACCACTGCTGCTTCCACAAATTCCTGCCCAGAGCTGACTGCATCTGTTAGATTAGCTCCTGGTACTAAGCTAAGATGGGAATTTTCTGCTTCTGTCTTGCTCCCTTAAGCCAGTTATCATCAACCCTGACCTGTCTGAGTCTATGGAGCCTGATCCCCTCCAGCCTCTGTCTTGATGGTTGAAGGGGAGGGTCTGGGGTGGGAACTGGGGAGGGTCCTAGAGAAAGGAGAGGATTAATCTTAAGGAATGGAAGAGGTTTATTTGGGGAAAAGGCCCATCTGGGAATCGAGGGGAAGTGGTAGAAAATGGTTTTGTTCTGGGGATGATGAAGTCCAGACTGAAGAACGAAGGTTCTCTGGAGCATGGCCCCGAGCTACAGCGTCAGTGTCACCCGGGGTATTAGACATGCAAATTCTCTGGCCCCGCCCCACACCTACTGAATCAGCAACTCTGGGAGTAGAGTCCAGCAATCTGTGTTTTAACAAGCCCTCCAGATGATTCTGATGTGTGCTAAAGTTTGAGAATTATTGCTCTTGAGTTACAAGGTCTTTTCTAGGAGTTAGAGGTGTGTGTTCTGGGGAATCAAAGGTCCATCCTGGGGGATATGTCGTGGGAGTGGGGGGGTATCCCTCAGAATAGGGAGGGTCTGTCCTTGTGGACCTTTAGAAGGTTGAAAAGGTTTTGTATCCTAGTATGAGAAGAGGTCAGTTCAGGTGAGCAGAGGTGAATCTGCTTTCTAAAATGGGAAGGCGACAATATTAGGGAATGAGGAGGTCTGACACAGTAGGTAAAGCCATGATTTAGAATCACTAAGACTTGAATTTGGATCCCTGGATCCATCATACTAGCTGGGTGACATCATACTTTTACTTAACATTTCTGAGCCTCAGTTTCCTTATCTGAAACCTGGGAAGAAAATACCTCATAAAGTCATGAGGATTGGTTATAGCATTGAGTCAACGTATCTGTTGAGTGTGTTTTCTGTGTACAAGTTCTGGAAATAGGAGGAGATACAGACCTAGCCCTTTTCTCAGAGATCGTATCTCTATGCCAGGTACCAGGCATACAGTAGGCATTCAGTAGTTTCCCCTCCTTTGCCAAGGAAATGGGAGATTCTTCTGGGGGAAAAGAAATGATCCTGAACCATAGTAAGTCTAAAGAGTAAGGATGTATGATCTACTCTTTAGAATTAAAAAATAATTTATTGGTAAATATTTGTACTTTAACTTCATAAAAACCTTTTGAGGCAGATATGCAGGTTTTAAAAATCATTCTCATTATACAGATGAGGCTCAAAGAGGTGGAAATATTTGTTTAAGGGTATAGAACTAGCCCTGGCTGGGTACTTAGTTGGTTAGAGCATCATCTTGATACACCAAGAATGGGTTCAATCCTTGGTCAGGCACATACAACAACCGACCAGTGAATGCGTAAATAAGTGGAACAGCAAATCGATGTTTCTCTCTCTCTCTCATTCTCTCTCTGTCTCCTCCTTCCTCTCTCTCTAAAATCAATAACAATAAAGAAAAGGGTGCTTGGTTGTAAAGACATCTGAACCCTACTTTGGTTCTTTATACTCACCAGGTACAAATTACTAGTATGTTTTATAAGCCACAGGATACCCTACATAGTTTATCTGCTATAATCTTGTTCTGCTGGTTTGTTCCTTGTAAATATTAAAATGAATCCCCCCCCCCAAAAAAAAGGTGGAGGTAAAGTGGGGATAAATGATGATGGAAGGAGACTTGACTTGGGGTGGTGAACACACAGCCCAATATACAGATGATGTATTGTTGAATTGTATACCTGAAACCTGTATAATTTTAACCAGTGTCTGTCCAATAATTTTTTAAAAAAATATATCTTTATTGATTTCAGAGAGAGGAAGGGAG